CCAACTTGGGGCCAACAGACGCCAACATAGGCCCAACATAGGCCCAACATAGGCCCAACCCAGGCCAACATAGGCCAACATAGGCCTAACATAGGCCAACATAGGCCCAACATAGGCTCAACATGGGCCCACGATGTGCCCAACATACACCACATGGGCCCCACGTGGCCCAACCTAGGGCCAAGATGCGCACCAGATAGCTCAACTTTGCTCAATATAGGCCCCACCAAGGCCAACATAGGCGTGACATACGCCCCACACACCCAAGTGGGCCGGCGCCCGGCTGTTAGGCGTAAGCCTTGAAATCCGGGCGCCGGCCACGCGCCCGTGTCCTTGCCGGAGGCCTTCGGTGGTAACCGAAGGTTATATACGCTCGCCGCCCCTGCCGCCGACCCTTTTGTTAGACCGCGGGGATACCTCCGACCGACCCCCGCCCGAATCCGGTCGACAGATTTTTATGTCATGTATATTTTATCTACTAGCATGATTGCGCATGATGTGGAAAACATCGCTTTTTACAGTGTTTCGTGGCCTTCGGCGGAGACGACTTGCGCCTAACAGGGCGCCGGTGGTGTCGGTTATGCGTGCCGCGCGGACAGGCTTAATCGACATTTCGTGGGTGTTGGGCACAGAAGTTGCCTAACATATCCCTAACATGGGCTCAAGATAGCCAACATATCCCCAACATAGCCTCCAAGATGGCTCAACATCGGGCCAACATAGGCCAACATGGGGCCAACATACGCCAACATAGGCCCAACATAGGCCCAACCTTGGCCAACATAGGCCTAACATAGGCCGACCTAATCCCAACATAGGCTCAACTTGGGCCCAAGATGCGCCCAACATAGACCACATGGGCTCAACTTGGCCCAACCTAGGACCAAGATGCGCGCCAGATAGCTTAACTTTGCTCAATATAGGCCCCACCAAGTCTCAAAGAGAGAGAGAGAGAGAGAAAGAGAAAGAGAAAGAGAAAGAGAAAGAGAAAGAGAAAGAGAGAGAGAGAGAGAGGAGCCAGCCCTGCACATACCCATACCCAAATAGGCCGGCGCCCGGCTGTCAGGCGTAAGCCTCATAAATCCTACTGCGGATGGGTAACTTGGAGTCTGTCCCTGGGACCGATGCTGAAGTAGGTTAAGAACCAAGGACCAGGGCTCGAAATCCTGTCCTGTTCGAAATGTTTTCCAGGAACATGTCTTAACCTTTGAACTTGAGTGCCATGCTGAGCAGGACCCCTCAGAAAATAAGAGGGCTCAGTATGGCGGTCCGCACAGTAGCACGCCAATGGTAGACACATTTTGTGCAAAGCTGCTTAAAAGGCACGCCCAAAGCGGATGGTTCTGCATTTCGCGCGCTCGACGCGCACGATCTCCGCAGAGGGTTGCGCGGGCACCGGACAAATCGCACTCTCGCTTGCATTTCGCGCACTCGACACGCACGATCTCCGCAGAGGG